AGAAGAAGAAGAAGAAGAAGAAGAAGAAGAAGAAGAAGAAGAAGAAGAAGAAGAAGAAGAGGCAGAAGGAGGAGGGGGAGAAGAAGAAGGAGAAGGAGAAGGAGAGAGAGAGAGACATAGAAAGGAAAACAAAAGCCGTGCCTTAAAAGCGTAAAAAAGCGCTGCAAAGAATGGAGAGGGGGAAAAAATAGCTTTCTGCACTCCAAACAGGAGGCTAAAGGCAATTCACTGTTTTCCGTGGTGTAATGTTTGTTTTCCTGCTGCACAAGTTGCACTTCCAGAGACTCAACCTAGAAATAAGGAGAAATGTTCTGCCAGTGAGAACAATCAACCCATGGAACAGAGGTTGCCTACAGAAGTTGTGGGAGCTTCATCCCTGGAAGCTTTCAAGAAGAGACTGGACTGCCATCCATCAGAAATGGGTCTCCTGCTTGGGCCGAGGGGAGGGGGGGCTGGACTAGATGACCTGCAAGGTCTCTTCCAACTCTGTCCTATCCTTTTTTTAAAAAAAAAATAATTCCACTTTTTCCTGGGAACTCAGAGAAGGCTATGATGCATGGAGGCGAAGTCTTCCGTTTTTCAAGGAGAAATTTCCTGACGGAACCATAAACCAGGGGAACAATTTGATTTGTGGGTGCTCCGTCCCTGGAGGATTTTCAGAAGAAAGGGGACACCCGTTTGTCTGGAATGGTATAGAGTCTCCTGCTTGAGTAGGGGGCTGGACTAGAAGTCCTCCAAGGTCCCTTCCAATTGTTGTTCTCTTGTAGTCGGGCTGCAAAGCTGTGGAATGACCATTAGACCATTTTTCAAGCCTTCTTCCTGAAAGCTCTCCTAAGTAGGTAGGTAGATAGGTAGGTAGGTGGGTGGATAGATGGATGGACTGGTAGATAGATAGATAGATAGATAGATAGATAGATAGATAGATAGATAGATAGATGATAGATAGATAGATAGATAGATAGATAGATAGATGATAGATAGATAGATAGATAGATAGATAGATAGATAGATAGATAGATAGATAGATAGATAGATAGATAGATAGATAGATAGATGGATGGATGGATGGATGGATGGAGGGATGGATGGATGGAAGGATGGA